GGGATATTACGTGCATGTGTTGAACGTTCCGACTTTATGTTCGTATCGTTTGCGTAGATATTGTAAAACAGCCAATACCAAAGGTTTAAGACAATTAACCAATGACAATGGGAACAATTATGTTGTACCGGCAAGTTTTTAAACGTAACGATGCTAAATTTACAGGTTTTGCGTAAATGGTTTTTGTAACAGCGTCACATCGCCTGTTGTCCGATCGCCATTTTTTTTCATCAAATTAGACGTCCATTTTTGCTTAAAATATATTGTCTTTGTGTTCGATTTCGGTAAACAAATATGGTAGAATGCTTTCACAAAAAACAGCTAATTTTGAAAGAATTATTAATTAGTTAATTAGGTCAAATTTCGAGAAATAGAAATATAGTAAGGGTTGGTAAGTATATGAAAATAGAAATAGCTAGCCCGAAATAACCAAAAAATTGTTCTTTTCATTCTTGGAACGGTTTAATTGCCCTTACTGAAATTTCGGCCACAAAAAAGTGCTCACGAAATTTAAGTTCAGTGAATATACGGTGTAGTTGATCACCAATCAAAATTGCGAGGACGGGAATTGAGGTGCAGAATGATATGATTAAAAGATGTAGGCAGCATAATTGCCTAGCAAGCATAATTTCGACCGACGGAACAATCAAAGAAAAAGATAGAATAAGTAACAAAAGCTCACTGCTTTGGTGTTGGCAACTTACTAGAAGTCTGGAGGAAAAAATAGAGGCTTCAGAAATGGACTACCTGAGAAAATCCTGCTAGATATATAAAACAGAGCATATACGAAATGAAAATAGACGACAGAAAAGTGCTAGCAGTGAGATTGTCAAGAAAACTACACACAGATTAGAGAAAGACGAGGGATACAATCAGAAGAAGGGGCTGAACTATATAGCTCCTAGAGACGTAGAAGCCCTGCCTATGCCGATAAGATATCAATTTATGAAGCAACTATGAAAACAATGTTGAGGCAAGCGCATACGCGAGATTTAAAATCTCGTAATTTGGAAAAAAAAAATTGAGAGTGAGTACTTTGAACGTCACCCTTTTTATATCAATGTAATTATGTCAGTTTACTATTTCGATAGCATTTGTAGCTCATTTTGAATTTATTAGAGCCAGGATTTATTGCAGACCAAAAAGGCACATAAAATGAGTTTTGAAGACATTTCATTCATTTTCTGGAAGGTTTTTGGTAACACCCTTTCCAAATATATTTTTGAGTTCGGTATATGTATAAACCGAGAGCTATTGGGTTAAATAAAGGACGATTTACGAAACAAAAAAGAAAAAAAAACCCATTTATGCTTTTGTTATACATTTATACATATTTATTTTACATTATTTAACGAGAGACTTCGGTTTTCTAGTACGTCGAGTACGGCGAAGCGTCGAGACTGGCGGATTTACTTAAAATTCAGGCCGCCAAACCGAAGCCTAGGTTAAAAACCGAAAAAAAGTGGACGTTCCTTCCGAATTCGTACCGTCGATGTCCTCGTCGCGAGAAGAAATATGTTTACAAACATTTGATCGGGAGCTCACGGACGACGGTTTCAATGCAAACTACAGTTAAACGTTCGACCGATCGCCGATGACTTCTAATAAAAAATACACGACTATAGAGTAACATAAATTATTCATCTCGTAACGATTAATCTGGTTATTTTAATTTACTGAGCCGCGTTTAGAGAACAAACTGGAACATTCGATAGTCGTCGCAAAATGCATCGCATATTTATAATAACAATTAACTTCAATGAAAAAGCACCTCAGTACTGACTTGTATGAGATGATCTTCCGCTTAAACCGAAATTACATCTAGTAATGAATTCTAATGAATTTCCTACGAGATATTGATTAATTAATAATTATCAATTAATTATTAATTATTAATTAATATTGATTAAAAGAATCTACAGCAGAATAAACAGCAGTTTTTCATTTGCGACTCATATTTTACCCAAAGTAGAGGTTACAGAAATGGAGCTCCTACGTTTCCTGACCCTGGAATTTTTCCAACCGGGTAAACGGCTTTCGAAAAATCAATTTTTTTCTGAAACTCTGCAGGACTTCATCTCATCTATATTGAGCGCGGGGAATATCGATTTCCATATAGATTTTTTCCAATATCTCGAGCAGCCTATGTTTAAATGTGGGTGTGGACTTCACACAATTGTTATTTTTCTTAATATAGGACGGAATATCCTGAACGCCTTGTACCTGAAATATAGTCTTCTAGTGAGAGTCATTTACCATTTTTGAGAAAAAAAAATTCTCGAACCCTTAATGTGGTTTCTAAATTTTTAAAAATATTTCCTAACCCACAGTTTCACGAGCTGCCGTTAGAGAACTGTAGGTGTTTCAAATTTGAAGTCGATAGCTTTAAATTTATATTAAAACCGCGAAACAATACTATACTATACTATACTATACTATACTATATATACTATACTATAGCTTAAAGTATTCGGAACTTATTCATATTTATATGAAGCCCCTCAGGAAACAGAGAACAGACAAAAAATTAAAATTTCTTTTTTTTTCGACGTTGATTGCTTCTGTACGTACCCTTTCTAAAACTTCGATTTTATCGATTTTGCAAAAGTAACTAGAATTCAGATGGTTTCCATTAAGGACATGGATTATGTAGTAATTTAAATTAAAAATAATACACATTTTGTATATACACAAAATAATCAAAAAAAAAAATCTCCCTAAATCTCTTAAGTACTGCGGGATAACATATCATAAATTTATCCTGCCGCATATTGCAGGAAGTGACGTTAACGAATATTGAAAGGAATTGCTACATACTTTATATAAAAGACAAAGTCCAGCCTACATATTATAAAAATTTTAAACACAAACATTACTTTAAATTTTATTTCAGACATTTTTACCTTTTGTGTTTCTTTTTTTTTTCTCATACTTCTTTTACTTTTTGTTCTTTATGCATTTATATTTATTGAGATGTTTATTGCTTCGAAGCTTATAGATAGAATAAATTTTTTGAGATGTTTTTAGCAAAGCAAGATTTCGTACCTCATTTTCCCCATTGGCACTTAAATTAAAGACCCGCATAACATTTTTGAAACTTTTTACAAAACAGCATAGTTATAATCTTTTAGAATTTATCTGCGGGCAATGAACGAGTGAAAATTTTAATAAATAAGATCGTCGTTCGTCAACTGGTCAATATTTGGTGAAGAGTGTGTCGGCTTTATTTGTTTTTATTTTTCTTCTCGACGCGGGATAAATTTAAAAATGAAATTGGCACAGGAACAATCGGATCTGACAACCCAAACGGGTGGGCGTTTTTATAGCCCTCACATTCGAGGCGAAATAAAACTTGTGAACGTGCGAAACGGCAGTGGAAAAAACCGGGCAAGACGAGCTCGCAGCATCGGTGGAGGGTTCAACAATATATCGAACAAACTTTAAGGTCAACGTTTAGAAACGTTTATTTACACTTTCGCGTTGAGCTAGTATTGAAAAAAAAAATGACAACTAGTACTCTACTGAGACAAAGACAAATGGAAATGAGTAAAAAAAAAACAAATTATATACATTTTAGTAACTTTTAGTTTATAACATTGAAGGAGAGATAATTGGTCACAATAACACACAAACTTCATTTCAGTTGTTTACTTAAAATATGTCTATAATTGTATAAAACTTTCATGGACGCAAAGGTTTTTTGAAATAATTTGCTGTCTAAGATAGCTCCTACCCCAAAATTCTTACGCAGACACCGTGAAAAATTTGAAAATCAATAAGCAAAATAGGCGAATGCTGAGTTTATTTGAGAATATTCGAAAGGATTGCGTTAGATTCGGTCGAGTTTGTGTGTCAAAATTATTTTTGCCAAAAATCGGCCCGAGGCTCCAATTTTAAAAATGAGAAAGCGCAATTTTTATTTGTACAGCGCGTCATCAAAAAGCGCGGTTGTTTGCGAAGAGATAAAAATTAAGAGATGGGCTTTTAACTTCCCGTTTTATCGCGGAGTTGATAATCAGAATTTTATTGGGAAGTTTGTCAACATTACGATATCGTGTACACTAACCAAAACATCAGCTCCTTTGCTTTCAAAGAAAAAACATCACCATGTTTTCTGAATTCGGACTCCGATCCTTCTAAAGCAGAGAGCAAATATTTTCTGCACGGGTATTACGACGGACCGTAATTTTACATGTGGCCTAAAACAGTCGGGATTTCCCAAAGATCTTTTTGCAAATTTGACAGTGCTGTTATCTAATTTACCGCTAACTCGACGATAATCATCAATTCCGAGCACTTAAATATTATTTTTGTCAACAAAAATGTATACCACAAGCTTCCTTGAAAATTTTATTTTAAACTCCCTCGCGTCTTGTTTTCGAAGAAAAAATAAAACCTGTTTATACAAATTTTTTCAATGGCAGACTGCGATTTGAAGAGCTGATATTTCGGAATTTAAATAATACTCTGTGGATACGCCCCTCATACGCTTGTGATAACTTCAGTTAGTGAAACATACTTTTCTAAATGATGGTCTAGGAAAATGAATAAAACAAAAAAGAGACGCCGTTTTCCCGGAAAATAAAGAGTTTTTCCGAAAGAGACAAGAAAATTTAAACCAATACAAAATTATCCCCATCAGTGTATAATTTACTTTATTAATTTTATCTCGGTCAATAGAAAAGAGAAAATACGCGTCATTGAGTATAGAAAAAGAAAAAAAGAATTGGAAAAATCCTTTAAAAACTGTAAATAGCTAAAGCAAGGATAACAATAATATAGAATAACATAAACATTATTTTTTATTCCGTTTATCGAGTATCGCCTAATCACTTTTAAAGATCGTTTATTTTAGATTATTCTAAATCTTACAAGCGCCCCTTAACCCAACAATTTTTAGTTCAAAATAAAATCGACCGCAAATTCGGGCACGAGGGTTCGTCGCGTGCGCGATCGTCGCTGTCTCCGGCGAAAATCGCGCTCAGCGTTCGGAAACTCACCCCTGCTCAATCCGTATCTGAGTTCCATGCCGGGTTAGTCCACAACAAACACCGAACCGCAAAAACGATCGCCACGCAGAGCGTTTTTTTTTTTGTTTTTTACTCGAAACTTCTTCGCGCCACCCGATTCGAAGTCAAAATGTTTATCAAAAAGTGTCCGGCGAGGCTTTTAAAATCTAAAACGGTTCAATTTCGCTTCGAGTGGGGCGGCCGACGCTACACGCACGTGACGCGCGCCGCTGCGACGACGTACCGCGCTTTTTTTTCAAGATCAATGCTTTTTTGCGCTTCAATGCGCTCGGTACCGCTTCTCGCGACGTTTCGATTCGACGCGTCTCGGAGACACTGACGCCGATTGAACGCGCGGAAAGCGACTTAAAGCGACTTAATTGTTTGTCTCGCGTAATCGCATTTAGATGCGTTCGCCGTTTTGATTTACTTTGGTTTTACTGCGACAGAACGACCGACAACATTGCGATCTATATTGCTTTATTTTGTTTAGGCCGGAAGAATCATAGCAACCAACTATAATTTAAACTTAAAAACAACAAGTTCGTAGGGTTTATTTTTGTTCGTACGACAAATATGGAATTTTTCAAAATTAATTTTTCTCGCCGGATTGAGGTCGAAAATTATTTTATTGAATTTAAATCTGTTATTATAACCTTGGGTCAACATATCGGCCAAGGGCCTAAGATTCTTAGTTCATATAAACGAATGTCTGCAAAAAGCTTGCATCTACTCAAAAATTATATGTCAAAATAGGCGTTTTCGTTCAACATCTTGAAAATAACGTAAACTACTAACTTAACTTAAAATACTTCCATTCACATAAAATTAAAGAAACTGGTTGGCTCTATATGCAACGTGCTTTTGTTTGTATCACAAAATATGTTTAGAGGCTAATCTCAATATGAGACACAACATTACAATTATGGTTCCCAAACGTTCATAATTTTGCGAGTCTTCCTTTTCATTTGCCCAAATCCTAAACTAAGCTGCTAATTATACAGATTTAACAGTCATCTTCGCCTTTTTATCCAAATCAATTCTTCTTTTCCAATTCCCATTGCATTGTTAAGCTGTCTGTATTGTTCATGGACAAACAAAGATCCTTTATTACTATTTTTAGTAAGTAAGGTAAGGTAAAGTAAGGTAAGGTATTTGACATACTTGGACGTTATTACTTTTTAGGTTTTCATCTTAAATGCTACGTCTCTTCTATCCCTACGTCCAGATAGAATTACTGCCTCGGTTTTCTCTGGCGCAAAGCTTAGTTCGTTTGGTTCATCCATCTGTCGATCGCTAACTAGACTCAGGACTCTGTCATAAAATACGTTCCAGAGCAGAGGTCCCAAAACCGGAAAACTATCTTTTCCTACCACAATCTTTCTGCGAAATAGTCCCTGATACAATTGAACGGATGTTGATTTATCTCCCTCTTTTTTAGTTCTTTAAGAATGAGTCTGAATTATTATTAAAACCTTGGGTCAACATATCGACCCCAGTTCATAGTTCATATAGACGAATGCCCACAAAAAATATAATAGAATATAAATCTAAAATCTCCACCATCTCTTTATAACAAAATAATTTTTAGTTTTTAATTTTATTTTCATTTGCCCAAAATCTCAACTAGACGGGTAGTCACATACATTTAAAAGACATCTTCGCCTCTTAATCAAAATCAATTATTCTTTTCCAATCAGTACTCTAAATGGACAAGTAAAGACCTTTTATTGGTATTTTATTGCATTATTTTTGTATAATACCTGCATTAGAAGACTTTTGCTTTAAACTCTTACCAGTAAAAATTGTAATAATTATTTTAATAATAGCACAATTAATTAATTTTATTTTTAATATTTTAATATTAATCTTTTTATTCTGGTATACAAAATCTATAGGGTAAATTGATCCCTCTTTTGTCAAATATGTAGCCTCTCTAATCTATGGCTCTCCTAACTTGCTTTTCCCTCTCTTGTTAATAGTATATTATGCAACAAGTGCGGTAAACAGCATTTAACTCACAAGTTTATTTGGCACGAGCGGAGCGAGTATTAAATAAACGAGTGACTTAATAGTCTACCGAACGTGTTGTATACCATACTATAATATCCCATACTATACTATACTATATCATACTATACTATACTATATTATACTATACTATACTATACTATACCATACCATACTATACTATACTATACCATACTATACCATACTATACTATACTATTCCATACTATACTATACTATACTATACTATACTATTCCATACTGTACTATACTTTTTCGAAGTATTTTTTTAACAAAGTTTAATAATTAATAATATAATCTTGTTGTGTGTCGCGTTTAATTTGTGACTAACACGATCAAATTTTCCGATGCGAAACTAACGGAAGTCAGGAATTTTTTAACCTTTGTCTGCGGTTTCGGTCGCGAACACTGTCACAAAAATTAAAATGTGAGGGAGTATGCGATGCAAATTTCTTTATCTTGTTCGGACACGACAAATTAAGAAAACTTTATTCTCTACATTCACCACAGATTTCAGTTTATTAATATGTTGATAGCAAAAAATGAAGATTAACAATCGGCAGCTAAACTATGAATTAAAATTTTCCAATTCAGAGTAACAGTCTTCTAATATATTTAAACATATTTGCACTTGCCTTTCCTTGAATCGTAGAAGTTCAGTTATAAATTGTTTTTAATTTTCATTACCGTATCTTAAACCAATCTGCCGGATGGTATGAAAATATTCCAAAACCAACTTGCTATCGTAAATAAAACATTGGCTAGGGCAAAATATGCGATATTTTAAACGATACGTTAATGGATACTAATCTATTTAGATTTTAAGGTAATCTATGTGACTACTTTTATTTCAACTAACCTTTCTTATCTCTTGGATATTTAGTACCGAATAAACACTCCAATTTTTATTTTGCGAGATGTCGGAGTGTAAGCGTTTCCAAAAAAAAGTACCGGGCGGCCACTTAAGACTGCGAAGCGCCGTACCTCAGAAACTATTCTGGCACTTAAACTGTCAAAAAGAAGACTTTGTTGAAAATAATTTTATATACCTAAGAAGGTCCTAAGATATACAGAGGGGTTCAATTTATAATGGAGAAAATTTTGCAGCGTATTCAGCAATTAAAAATAAGTAAAACAGTTCATATAAATGAAAAAATATTTTGCCAGATTTTGCCTTTAAACTTGGTCTGGAACGCAGATGCAAACAAACGTTTTTTTCTGGAAAACTGTTCGCTTTAACGGAAAAACTAATGAAAAAATTTTTGTTTACAATTGGTATTCTTTATCAAAATTGCTATAAACTATAGGCCTAGCTATTTTTAAATTAATTAAAACGGCCTCGCGAACGTCACTGGTTAAACAAAAAAACCTATTGCAACACCTAGTATCACTTACTTATTTATTTATTTTCGTCCGATAAATACGATGTTAAAGTTGTCCCATCATTATTAGGACCAACAAAACAGATTGAATTTTTAGATAAGCCATTACATTACTCGTAAACCAATGAACGGATTTTAGCATACAGGATATCAGATCAACCTAATCTGTGATATATTTAGTTTTTAGTTTCAGAGATGCGGCTACGGCGCGCATTTTGATATTACATCAGTATATTGCATATTTCTATGAAAAATTAAACACAAAAATACTTTTTTTTTCATTAACGGTAATGAAATGATACCTAAACATGTCAGTGGAAATCCTATTTTAATATCTCATTCCTAGTCTAAAATATCGAAGCAAGATATCATTCAATTTTTTAAAACACAATTTTCATAATTTTATAATTTATATAGTTCAAAGAATTAATAACAGTATAATTTAATCCAGATAATAGGCGAATGCCAGAGGCAGAGCCTCTAAGGAAAAAATAAATGCCAAAAATGGTCAATAAATATTAACACAGACAAGTAAGAAGTTAAAACTATTAAACTTAAAATAATTTATGATAATAAAAAATAAAGGAAAGTATCCGGTACAGTCATATATGATGAAAACATTTTGTTTACAATTTATTTATGAAATTAATTGGATTTATTGGATGATATTAACCAACAATTAGTATGCTAGACTAATACATACGAAATCTGTCTACAGTTTGCTCTATAGGTATTATTTAAAAATTTAAGTGCCCTATCAAATGGGTTATTGCAACCATAATTACTAACATCAAAACCAAAATGGGCTCAAAAGATCTGATTCTGCGTTGACGAATGGTGAGCGAATTCTAATCAACGCTTCAGGGCAATAAGTAATATCCTTCAAAAGCTTAAGTCATCTATTGTAAAGCGACATTAAATTTAATCTCTCATGATGTTTTATCAATGTTTACCACTATCCCATTTCGAAACCATAGCATCCAAGAACTTATTCCGACCTTTTTTAATTTAGTAATTGTGTTGTTTCTGTGTTCCATACTCAAGTTGAGAACCGGCAAGGGAGACCCGACTGTAGTCAAGTCAAATACGTTTCATTAAAAGTAAACTTCTTTTTGTGTCCTATATGAACACATCTTTCAAAGAAACATATATTGTTTGGTGGCGGCGGAGCTAAAGGAAGGGCATGAACATTGAAGTTTCAGTTAAACTCTCTATGTAGTATGTAGTATTTCCCATATTTTGCCTCATATCACGCATGTTATAAACTAATGCTTAAAATATTCAATTTTTCCGGATCAGTAGAAAAAGGCGCTCGTCATACCGTTACCAAAAATTGCAAATCCTTAGATAATATTCGCCCTATCAGTATTTTACCAACTTTTTCAAAAATCTTTTAAAAGATTATATGTGACCAGATGCAGTTTCACTTAGATAATAACAATATTATCCCCGTTACTCGATCAGGACATAAAGGTGGACATAGTTTAACTACAGCTCTACTACATATAACCGATAATATATTTAGGGCTACAGATGAAGGCAACTTGACACTACTAACCCTTTTAGAATATTCGAGAGCGTTTGATACCCTTAACCATCAAATTTTCATTTCAATGTTATATTTTATTGGTTTCTCAGAAGACGCAATTAATCTTCATACCTACAACACCGATCTCAAGCGGTAACATATAATGGTGTAACTTCTTCATTCTTAAATGTTAATAAAGGTACACCTCAG